TGGAGGTGTCTCCGTTTTTGCTTACATTCTTGGAGATGCTGATTGATTTAGGTAGGATTCCTTACAATCGCCTGATCAAAGGCCATCAAGCGCATATTACGGGTAGTTCGGTTGCGATCGCATCGTTTACGCGTGGCAAACACGAGCGCGCTAGAGCCTGCTGTGGTGTAAAACGACCAGCTTGAGAAGCTAGAGCAAAAAATGCGTCCATGGCGTTTTCTGTGCCGCAGGAGGACAATTGGTAAGATATGTATGTATTTCGCTCTCCTATATGTGTTTTTTGTAATAGTAGTTGAAGTGAGATACCGTAGAATTTCTACACGGATGCTTTGAAACTTGACGGAAGGGTCGGTAGAGAGATATTTCGCAGGAAATTTTACCATAAATACTATAGTTAGACCTGTTACAGAAAGAGTTAAGTTAACTTTGAAGATGTATAGTAAAGTGATCAAGCTCACAAAGGGTTGCAACGCTGCATTTGAACGAATTATCATTAAATGCGAGACAGATCTGTTAGTTTATAGGCAGAAAGGGCTTCCGCTCTGAAATTGTCTGAAAAAAAATGTACAGAAAGTCAAAGAATTTTCTGCAAGCGGGCAATGAGGTGCTCTTCACTTTTGCATCGTATTTCAGCCGCCAAACTACGGGATTGTAATTGAAAATGGACTCAACTAGCTACTCGTATTATAATAAAAAATCACTTAAATCGTTTTTAGCTTCCACTTTGCTGTTTTGTTTTTTTCCTTGTTCGTGTATACTATGCCAAAGTATTTTTTAATTATTCTTATTAGATACGAGTTCATTAGTATAGACTTATTCATCCAGATGTATTTATGAAGATCCTTGGAAAAAATAAACTTTTGCTTTCCATTTCCATTCCGTTAACTCACTCATATTTTCGAATATCGTATACATCAGTAATCCCTTTTCAAGAGCATCTGTGCGATTCTTCATCTCATGTAAGTATACGTCATTTAATTCACCATTAATGTTCGGCATATTATTTTAAATCAAGTTCTTTCTTCTTAATTTGAAATTAAAAATTAAATAGTGCTTCCGGAACTTTAGAAAACGATCTAGTTTTCACAATGTTTTTCACTCAACTGAATGCCAACAATGAAAGCTCTATTAAAACTGATTAAATAAGCATGTCATTCAATGGGTTGGCATAATTAAATATAAAAGAATACTTAAAAGTGTATATTCGTAGAATAGATTGAATTCGTGTTAAAAGAAAAAAAATCCCTTTGTGCTATAGTTCGTATGGTGTAACGGCAAGTGCGAGATGTAGTAGGGCAATTCATCTACACGCGTAAATGCCTCGTAACCATGCCAACCTCGTAAACTTACATAATTTTGTTTGGAAAATCGCTTTATTTGCGAGGTTTACGCAGTTACGAAGCATTTACGCGTTTTCATGAATACCCATAGTATAAATACATA